GAGCTTGGATTACAGCCAAGGATCAACTACCCTGCAAAAATGAGCATGATTTTTCAAGCGAGGAAATGGATATTCAATGAAATAGGGGGCTTCCAAGACTTCCTGATAAAAATCAAAGACCAGAGCTCAACAAAAAATTTGATCTTCAAGTAAAAGATTTAAGAAAGACATGAAAAGGTAAATGGGACAGAAAGGTACAATATGTTGTTAATAAGGGTGGACCGTTTACATCCCTACAAGGGAAGACACTTGCATCTCTTGAGAACTGTATTGTTATTACATTATGTTAAAGAAGTATACATAAAGGGGGTGGATATTAGTTGACTTTGATGTAATGATAAAAAAAAATCTAATCGAGTTAAATGGATCCAAGTAAGTGGATTAGTCTGATCTTAGAAAATGTACTGAGAATGGAGGAGGCAGACAAGGATAAATTATATTACAGGAAAAGACAGAAAATCTTATTACAGCAGAGGGAAAGAAGGGAGGGGGTGAGCACTGTTTGAACCTTACTCTCATCAGATTTGGCTCAAGAAGGGAATAGCATAATCAGTTAGGTATAGAAATCTAACTTGCCCTATAGGCAGTAGGAGTGAAAAGGGGAAAGAAAAGGGAGGGGGGGGAACAGGAGGGAGGGAAGAAGCAGTAAGGCTAAAGGGGAAGAAAAGGGAAAGGGAGGGAAGGACTGAGGAAGGCGGTGGTCAAAAGCAAAACACTAGTGAGAATTTGTACTTACAACTTCACTAATGTGAAAATATGTTTAATAGCAATATAAATGTATAGCATATATATCAGACTGTGCGCTGTCTTGGGGAGGAAGGGGGAGAAAAAATTTTAAACTCAAAAGTATATGGAAGTGATTGTTGACAAATCAAAATAAATTAATAAAATAGAAATTTTTTAAAAAAGAGCCTGGATGCTATGCCATTTGGTGAATATATGTTTAATGCCAAAGGATATAAAAAGGCAGTTATCAGACAAAGTAATCAAAGCTATCTACAATCATGTAAAAAATGCTCTAAATTACTACTGATTACAGAAATGTAAATTAAAACAACTCTGACCTACTACCCCACACCTCTCAGATTGGCTAAGAGGACAGAAAAGGAAAATGACAAATATTGGAGGGAATGTGGGAAAATTGAGACACTAACACTGTTGAAGTTATATACTGATTCAACCATTCTACAGAGCAATTTGGAACTATGTCAAAGGGCGATAAAACTATGCATACCCTTTGACCAAGCAATACCACTTCTAGGCCTGTATCTCAGAGAGATCAAAAACAAAAAGGAAAAGGACATGTATGTACAAAAAATAGTTATAACAGCTCTTTTAGTGGTGGCAAAGGATTGGAAATTGACTAACTGGGGAATGGCTGAACAAGTTGTTCCATATGATTATGATAGAATACTACTGTGCTATAAGAAACAAAAAGCAGGATGCTCTCAGAAAAACCTGGAAAGACTTACATGAAATGATGCTAAGTGAAATGAACAAAATCAGGAAAACAATGTATAATGTAACCTTAAGATGATCAACTGTAAATGACTTAGCTATTCTCAGAAATACAATGATCTAAGACAATTCCAAAGGACTTAATAATGAAAAATTCTATCCATCTCCAGTGAAAGAACTGATGGGAGTCTAAATGCAGATTGAAACATACTCTTCTTTACTTTCTTCATTTTTCTTTTTTTTGTCTTTTCTTTTACAACATGATGAATATGAAAATGTTTTGCATGACTGCAGATGTATAACCTATACAAAATTGCCTCAATAAGGTTGTCCAGGAGGGAGGGAAGGAAAAAATTTGGAACTCAAATATTTTAAAAAACAAATGTTAAAAACTATTTTTACATGTAATGTGGGGAATAAATATTAAATGTAGTTTTAAAAAGAAAAAAAAATAGAAAACAGAAGAAAATGACAAAATGGGAGAGACAAAGTCCCAGAGACAGTCATTTGACTTGCAGATGGAAAGAAACCTGGGAAGCAAGATAGAGGACATGAATACCTACAATGCAGATCATACTGATGCACTGAAATGGGGAGAGGTTAAGATGCTAAAGAAACCTCAAGACAGTGCATTTTTATTTCTCTGTGTACATGTGCACTGGACACTTGGCCACATAGCATGGCAACCCATGAAACAAAAATATAAAATGGTCATTGACTGAAGACCAACAATTATAAGATTAATTTCCTTTCCCATCTGCAGTAACAGTGACAGAAAAGGGGGCAAAAGATGGTAAGAATAAGAATATTTTGTAGGCAATCTGTAAACATTAACCTAAACTCTGATATCTTGAATTCTAGATTCTTATCCAATGACAAAAGAAACAATATACTGAAAAAACTTAAAGACAAAAGGGAAGTTGTAACTACATAGAAAAATGGCTCCCAGGTTCTCACTGGATAGGCAAGTAAAGGAGTCACAAGTTATTGTTATTACACATCCACAAGCTGATAAAACAGTTTTAATTTTGGTAGCCAAAAATTAGAAACAAATTAGTTCAACAACTACGTAATGATTAAATAAATTATAATCTATTATTGATACATGAAAAAAATTACAAATATTAATACAAGTTAACATGGAATATAAAATGAAATAACAGAATGAAGAATCAATATAGATATGATTATACCTAAAGAATAGCAACAAAATTTCATAATGTACAAGAGAAAAACAGCAAACTATGACACAGTAACCACCAATGTCATTATTTTGTTAAAGTTCACATGTTCTTTTAAAACCTTTGTAGCTTATGGTTTTATGTATTAATTTTTAAATGCTGGTTTCTTTCAATGTTTTCTTTTTCTTATTGATAATACTAACTTTCATGCTAATAATGGGGAAATGATGTGGTTGGGTTTTTTTTGGTGGGGATAATGTCACATCAAAGCTCTTGAAGGAAATCTCTTATTCCATAAGATAAATCATTCCTGAAAACAAATTATCTAAATTAAATTTAGGATCAAATTTTGGACAGCACTGAGTGCCAGCAACTAAGCAGTTTGCCTCCTTTAATCTGTAGGCAATAAGAAATCCATGAATTTTTTTTTAAAACAGGAAGTACACATTTTCCAGATTATCATATTACTATATGGCTTTCACAAACTACACAAAAAAAGAGAAGGCTATCTTGTCTGGAAGGCACTAGCAACCCAAAACAAGTATGAAAATAATCACCCCACCAGTGTAGTATGCTGGTAAGGGTTTAACAATCAGTTCTTTGGGGGGAAAAAACGTGTGTAAGTGTATTATAAAGATGTAAGTTCATGTGTTTATTATAAATTTTATTGATATAAATGATGTGTAGCACACAACTTAAATAATAATAAAATACTCAATACTCTTTATTGTAAATTTCCTATAGATAATTAGATTTGGCTAACAGAGTTGCATACCAATCCACTGATATGAGATTTGCAGTTGTACTATATCTTACCCTCATACAAACTATATTAATTAAACTGAAACTTCTTTCAGCTTTAGCACCCCTGATTGCAATAAAGGTAACTATCTTTTTCCTTTTTTTATTTTTTATAGATGCAGGGATTAGAATATAGTTTGATCTTACATTATTATTTACAAAATCCTGAAAACTGTTCAACTCAATTTCATGCTTTAAAATTTCACATAAGTGATACAACTTTTTTTCACCTATACTCCATAGTGAAATTAGTTCGTCATAAGGCCACCTAGATGATTCCAATAAATAATTAAAATGCTTTCACAGTTGTTTCTGCTCAACAAAAGGTAAAAGTTTATGTTGTGAATTACATTTTTAATAACATATTCCTAGGAAGAGTATTAATTTTTAAACTGTTCTTACATGGAATGTCTTTAAACTTAATCAAATCTCCTACTTGAGATTGCTTTCTAGTGCCAATCCTTAGGTTTTCCAAAGCTCTCAGAGTGCATTTGATAGATTTTTGCACTTTCTGAATGTCAGGTGATCTTGACTGTAATGCAGTTCAAATAATGAAAATTCTTCATGAATGTCAATCATTAAGCCTTGCAAGAAATTAGTGTTATCTAATCTCTGTGCCTAACCAGAATAAAGAGGAAAATGCACATATAATAATGCAAGATATGTGAACCAGAGAGTAGTTGCAACTCTTGAACTACATGCTTCCCATATGATCCCAGGACTCAATCACTTTTAACTTCAATTTTAAGTTCTTGAGCTACAGGTTCTAGCTCAGCTTGATTTTTATTAGATTGATGACAATAAATATTATCCAGAATTATTTTTAACTGATTAACTTGTTTTATTTCAGATACTGAAATAGTCAAGTGATAACTATAATCAATGATTTAACTTCATAGCTATTCCAGACTTTCTTCCCAGCATTGTATTAGCACCATCATAATAAAATGCAATTAAGTTTGCTTTCAAATATTCATCATTAAAACCACAATCATTTAAAACAGACATTAACATTTTGAAAATTCATTCTACTGTGGCTGACACCTATTCATTTAAAGCAACAAATAACATTACCAATGTAGGAGCTGACTGAAATGCAGGCTTGTTAAACACTACCAACTAGTTCACACAATTCCTGAAAATATAACAATTAGCCCTCTTGAGCCAGTATGAGCCAGCTCCAGCACACTACTGCCTACCTATCAACAGTATTTTTTCCTGATTTAACTGTAAAATTGGGGAATGGGAGGAATGGGAAATAAACTAGTAAGATAAAGTATGGTCAGTAATGACAGAAAAGCAGAAATGGATAGATAAGTAAATATGAGAAATGGTAAGATAATATATATGGTATGCATAATATATATGTATAATTATAGAATACATATTATATATGATAATGCATATTATATATAATATTTAGGAGAAAATATCAGAAGACAAGCACACAAATAGAGTCAGGAAGAAATGGTAATGGAATAACTTGTCATCACAATGAAAAGAAAAAAGCCAGGTTATAATAGGCAAATAATAGTATTTATCTACACATACATAACTTACCTCTCTTGCAGCACAGTCATGTGGAGCCTCTTCTTTATTTACTTTTCCCTTTGGAAATCCCCAGCCTGATTTTGCTAGATAACCCTGAACCAATAATACCTTTAAAAAAAAACCACACAAATAAATGTAATTCACTGAGGGTTAGCACTGTCTCATTTCTGTATTAAGTATAGTACCTGGCACACACACAGTAGTCACTTAATAAACGATTTGTGACTGATCCACTACAAGAAAAATAAAATATCCTCAACTAAAAACACTGAGTTGTTTGGGAATTTCTCCCCTAAGGTGTCATCAGAAAATCTGAAATGGAATAACTGATTTTCTTAAATCTAAAAATAAAATTACACTGCCAATCAGCAGTGACATGAAAAGACACTCTGTCTGTCTTTTTTTCTCCCTCAGCATTTGCTACTTAGTCCCACTGAACCAAACTATCACAGCCAGGAGACCAGACCATCAAACCAGAGAAAACAAAAAGGTAGGGTGGGGAGAGGGAAGAATAAAAACGTAGCACAAGACTTTAATATCATATAGAATACAATATTATTATTTTAAAACCTAAATTCAGAACATTAATATAACACATATAATACATATATTTGATTAAGCTAAAAAGTTACCTAAGTTCAATGCTAGTAAGCTCACTTACAGTACTGCATATGTCATCTTGACTCTTAATTTCACTCACATTTTCAAGTGTTTCATCAAGAATAATTGCACCATATGTTGGTACTCCCATTTTATATTCCTTCCATTCATCTAAAACTTTCTGTACATCTTCACCTTGAGGCAGTAAAAAAGGACAATGACTGAAGAGTAGAGGTAAGGTCAAGGAAGCCAATTAGTTGTTTCCTTCCCAAAACGCAATATACAAACAAAAGAACAGAACCATTCACGTGAACTATACTTTTTTTATTCTGTGAAGTGATCTTTAAAAGGTTCACTCTTGAATCCACCATGGTGTTTTTTCTCATTATGTTCTAAGAAGATAGATAGATATCATGGTACATCTGAGATACTAAAAGAAGAAAAGGAAGGCTTTCAAAGAATTAATGAAGGTTTATTTAATATCCTACTACTTTGCTAAAATTATTGTTTCAAGTAACTTTTCCATTGAATCTATAGAATGTTCCAAGTATATCATATCATCTGCAAAGAGACAGTTTTATTACGTTATTGCCCATTCTGATTCCTTCAATTTACTTTTCTTCTCTTACTGCTACTGCTAGCATTTCTAATATAATATTGAATTATATCGGTGATAATAGGCATCCTTGTCTCACTCCTAATCTTATTAAGAAGGCTCCTAGCTTATCTCTATTACAAATAGGTATTGCTGATGGTTTGAGGTAAATGCTTCTTAACATTTTAAGGAAAAATCCATTTACACTTAGGCTTTCAAGTGTTTTTAATAGGAATGAGCATTTTTATATAAATCATCAGCATTTTTATATATCATCAACAAAACCCTGTAAGAAGAGACAGTAAGATAAACCCCATGTAAAATACCTGTAGATTATATAAAATACCTGGAAGTATACTTTTTAAGACAAACCCAAGAACTACATGAACATAATTATAAAACACTCTTTATACAAATAAAGTTAGATTTAAATAATTGGAGAAATATTAATTGTTCATGGGAGACAATTTTACCTAAACTAATCTGCTTATGCAATGCCATCCCAATTAAATTACCAAAAATTATTTCATTGAGCTAGAAAAATAATAATAAAATACATCTGGAAGAACAAAATGTCAAGAATATCAAAGGAATTAATGAAAAAATAAAGGAAAGAGGTTTAGCAGTACCAGACCCTTAAGCTATATTATAAGGCAATAATTATCAAAACTATCTGTTACTGGCTAAGAAAAAGAAAGGTGAATTAGAGAAACAAAGTAGACATACCACACAGTAGTAAATGATTACAGTAACCTTGTGTTTGACAAATGTGAAGATCTGAGTTTCTGGGATAAGAATACAGTATTTGGTACAAAAAAAATTGGTTGGGAAAACTGGAAGGCAGGCTGGCAAAAACTGGGTATAGATCAATATCTTACAAGATCTACCTAGATAAGGTCAAAATGGACCCATGACCTAGATATAAAGGGAGATAACATAAGAAAACTAGAATAACATGGAACTTATTATGGACTTACAGACAGGAGAAGAATTTATGAATAAACAAAAGATAGAAAGAATTATGAGACGTAAAATGGATAATTTTGCTTACATTACATTAAAAAGGTTTTGTACAAATAAAACCAATGTAGCCAAGATTGGAAGGTAAGAAGAAAATTGGGAGGAAATTCCTATACAAACTTTCTCAGATAAAAGTCTCATATCTTAAATATATAGAGAACTTTGTCAAATTTACAAGATGCGTCATTTCCCAAAGGATAGGAACAGACAGTTTCTTGATGAAAAAATCAAAGCTATGTATAGTCACATGAAAAAATGTTCTAAATCATTACTGATTTGAGAAACGCAAATTAAAACAACTCTGAGATACGACCTCACACCTGTCAGATTGGCTAATATGACAGAAAAGGAAAATGACAAATATTGGAGGGGATATGGGAAAATTGGGACATTAATGCACTGTTGGTGGAACTCTGAACTGATACAGCCATTTTGCAAAGCAATTTGGCACTATGCCCAGAGTTAGAAAACTGTCATAAAATCTTTGACCCAGCAATACTACTGTTTCCCAAGGTGATCAGAGAAAAAGGAAAAGAACTTATGTGTTCTAAAATATTTATAGCAGCTATCTTTGTGGTGGCAAAGAAATGGAAATAGAGGAGAAGTATATCAACTGAGGAAAAGCTGAACAAGCTATGATATATGGTTGTGATGGAATGCTATTATGTTGGTAAGAAATGATGTTGATTTTAGGAAAATACAGAAAGACTTGCATGAAGTAATGAAAAGTAAAATGAGCAGAACCAAAAGAACATTCAGTAATAGCAATATTATTCAAAGAATAATTTTGAACCATCAAGTTATTCCACGTACCATACATACTCATATCAACTCTGAAGGACCTACGAAGGAAGACACTATCCACCTCCAGACAAATAACTTATAAACAGAAGTATGCACAGTATGGTTTTACATGTATTTATAAATCTCATTAAATTGTGGCCTGTGTGGGGTGCAGAGGAAAGGAGGAAGACAGTTTGGAACTTGAAATTAACAAAAAAATTTAATTAAAAAAAAAGAATTAATGTAGACCCTCTAAAATAGGAATTCTTAAATTTTTCGTGTCATGGAAGTCCTACAGCAGTCTAGTGAAGGCTGGGAACCCCTTCTCAGAATGTTTTAAATGCATAAAATACATGAGAACACAAAGGAAAACAATTATAATGAAATGGAATTATCAATTTTTTAAAAAAGTAAACAGACCCCAAGATAAAAACCTCTGATCTATGAGGAAGTATGGATAAAAAAGTACACTGGATAAGAAGTCATGGAGAAATGATAATCTGCATTATTAGATGAAGGACCTACACTGATAAATGCACAGCTACTTCAAATTATCCAAATATTTTCCTTTGAAGAAGGCTCTAAAATGACCAGGTTATTGTTAACTCCTGCAGATTTCAACATGACAACAAAGTAACAAATTCTGTAAGACAGATTCAGCTTCAGACTCCTAAGAGGATACAAGCATATTCTCAAATATGTAAAAAGTATCCTCTTAGACATTATTTTTCAGGTACATAAGGCTACAAATCTCAAAAAACAAAACAAAACAAAAAAACTCTCAAAGTCCTCCAGGTGGACAAATTCCAAAGAAGTCTCAGAAGCTGAACCCTACCTGCCACCCGACAATCAGATGGTAAAGGCACAGTACCAAGAGCAAAATCCTAGCAAAATGAATGAATCTTTCACTCCTAACATAGTCCTTAGCTAAATATGACAGAGAGAACTTGAAGATTTGAGGTCCTTTTTAGGTGGGCCAAAATCAACTATGGGAAATATTCTAGGGTCCTGCTCCTTGTTTTATGGAAAAAAAACAGGGCAGATATAACTCACATATTTTAAGGTTTATAATTCTCAATTCAGACATACTTAATTTTTTAAGCACATTAAATACCATCATCTATCTCATCAACAATGAATGTAGTGAATAACTTATAGTATTATTTTCTTATTTAATCTTGTGATCATTTCTTCATATTATAAAAACCAATAGTGAAATTACTAAAAATAAATTTATTGGGGACTTAAAGAAAAAAGTATCAGTACAACAAATAGTGAGTATTCAGGTTCTAAAAGAAATTAGGTCAAATCTTAGAGAAATCAGGTGGCAGAAAACAATTTAATAAAAATAAACACAACCTACACCACCAGCTATCAATATTCATTCTCAGATGCGTCATTCCTATGACACTGGTAAATGAGAATAGTACAGGTTAAAATTTGATAAATCAACTTATCTACAATAACATTTAAAAATATATAAACTTTAAAAAGAAGAAAAATTACTTCCAAATAGGTGTGCCTGCGTAATTATTTTTTCTATAATATTTTAGTATACTTATACACCAGGTAGTTAAGCGTATCCACTGATTTTCTAATACAAATACCAGGACCTTCTTATCAGTAGACTAGCTTGTAGAAAACCCAAAGAAGAACAAAGGAAATTACGTATGTAGAAGTAAAACATAAGAGCGATATCAATATTAACATTATTATCTGTTCTCATTGTAGGGAAAACTATGAAATTTGGATGGTAAAATAACCACAATGTAATTGATAAAAAGAAACTATAACTTAAACCTAGTCAACTCGTACTTGTTCAAATTCTTTGCCTCCCTAATCCTAAATCACTGTTCTGGACAATCAAAGGATGGGATAACAAAAGAAGGCATAACTTTTATTATCTCCTTATTTTTCTCCTTGCTAACCACCAATTTAAAATGTATGTATACATATATGTGTGTACACATGTGTATGTTTCTAACTACATATTTATATATGTGCATGTACATATATACATATACATACATATACACCCCCCAATTTATGAGTGAAGATGTTAAACCATTTGAAATTGTTTAGAAATTACTCTTTATATAACTTTATATTACCAACATTACTGCAAATAATTGAGTTGACTCTTCAACTAAAGGCAGCCTCTAATATCCTTGAAGAATAATTTAAAAAAAAAAACAACTCAGTCACACTGAACTTTTGTTTAACCCATGCCTAACAATAACAGCAAAAATATAGCTGGTGGCAGTGGGAATTTGAAGGATAGAAAAGTACTACTCTCAAATTATTAAAATTCTTACTTGCTTGTATGTCTGATTTCTTTAAGTCCCAACAAAATTTCTTTCAGGTCCTAAGACCTGTGCTTATTTGGCTTTATGACTGGTCAAAAAAAAAGATGCTGATTAAATGAAAAAAGTCAACTAACACAAAATAACTGGTATTATTATTTGTTGTTGTTCAGTAGTTTCAGTTGGGTCCAACTCTTTATGACTCCATTTTGGGAGTAGTTTGCCATTGCCTTCTCCAACTAATTTTACAGATGAGAAAACTGAGGCAAACAAGGCTAAACAACTTGCCTAGAGTCACATAACTAATAAGTGTCTGAAGCCATATTTGAACTCATAAAGATGAGTCTTCCTGACTCCAAGTTGTGTACTTCATCCACTGCACCACCTAATTGCCCTAGTATCACACACTTATTCAACTACCTTCACTTGAGATCAGAGAAAACTTGTTACAGTCATTTGGAAGATATCAGCAATATTTTTAAAGTTACAACATTTTAAATGTTAAAATGAGACAAGTATATAAATAAGAAATTTATAACCAGAGGACCTATTCCCTACCACTAACAATGAAATCAGTAGTAAATCACTTGCCACACTAGACTCTAAAGAAATTTAATTTAAGCACTTGGTTAAAAGAAGAGAAGAAATATAACCTATTTTAAACATGTATTAAATAAGATGAAAAAGTGACTACAATAAAACCCTATGATTTTTGGAGTACTTGGGGAGAGTGGACTTAAGTAAATTAGTTTAAAAAAGGGGAAAATTATAGAACCACTTCAAGAAATGAAATGGTATTTCTCTAAGGTAAAATATTGCCAAAGGAGTAGTTTCATTAGACCTGTTTTCACAAAGATGTAAAAATGACTCATAGTCAGTACATTCATTCAAATGTTTACCTAACACCCATGTGGTCCAGTATTGTGGGAAGAAAACGTAAGAATATGAAAACAATAAAAGAACCTGGTCCTGACCACAAAGTTCATAAATTTGGAACTGGAAGGATCTCTGAAGTCATCTAGTCCAACCTGATTATTTTATTGATGAAGAAACTGAGACAGGATAAGTAGCTACACATAAAGCTTGGCACATATCAGGTACTTAATAAATATTTGATGATTAATTGATAAAGTAGTTGGGTAACAAGGCATACTTTTATACATTTAGCAATTAAAAACTCTATAAGGAAGCATACAATCAAATGCAAAGTTAAGGCTGTTTGGTACAGGGCTCTAGGGGCTCTAGGAATTCAAGGAATGTGAAGATTTGGCTAGTCAAAGAAATTGCATGGAGGTAAGATGCTAGACTATAAAGTGTTAGAAAACAATCTGCATAAACAAGTGTAAAGTTTACAAGGGAATAATTACTAATGGCTTAGCAATTCCTTTATTTTCTTTTAAGTTTGCAAAAGTTAAGTTCAGCCTAATCCATTGCAAATTTTTCACCAACTCTAAAATAGTCCAAATAGTTCTGCCATGCTGACACAGATATTACTGACTTCTAATGAGTTAATGTCAAAAATTGATTTTAACATACCCAACATTATAATTTAAAAACAAAACTGAACAGAATGAAAGATTTATTCATTTAATTTAATGTAATACTGTATTCCTTTACACACCAAAAATTAGAGAGGGACAAGTACCACAAGAAAAATTTTTTCTTCATTTCAATTCTAATTTATAATATTTTCCACTATAAAATAGGACATGATACTTCTAGGATATCAAGTAAGACAGGTATCAGGTAAGACAGAATGAGTCTATGAAATATCAGGATTGTAGAGACAGGACTAACTAGGAATCAGAAAACATTAGTTCTAATATACAACGAGTTTCCTTGGGCAAAGTACATCAACTTTGGTTCCTTCATATAAAAAAAATGGGATTAAGTCCTGCTTCTTTCATAGGATAATTGTGAGAATTACAGAATATATGTGAAAGCACTTTGTAAGTGGTAAAGCATTACCCTACTATAAAGTATACAGAATATTATATGAATTCTATATATTAACTTATATAGACGTCTCATTCCTAAGAGGACATTCCCAAGAGATGAGTTCATTTGGGCAATTAGCAATATTAAAGAGATTTATATATGATTTTTGAAAGTATCCTCAGCTCTTTCCAAGCTTTTTAGCCAATAAAATCTTTAAGCATCTTCTCTCAAGAAATTCCATCCATTCCCATGACTTCAACTATCATGTCTAAATAGCTAATTTCCAAAGTTCTATTTCCAGTCCTTCCTTTTCTCCCAAGAGAAATTTCTAACATTTCCAACTACTTGTTTCTACTTGTATTTTCTTTCATCTCAAACTCAACATGTCTATAACTCATCTCTTCCCCTTCCCAACAAGCTCTCCCACTGAATTTTTCTATTTCCCTTAAGGGTAGCAATATTTTCTCCCTCTCAGTCTTAAATGAACTCTAAAGTCCCTTCTCACTCTAAATGCATAATCCTATGGATCTTTGAGTCCTCTCTTGCCTTCCCATTAAGAAGTCTAATGAAATACTTTTTTTAATCATCTCCCTTAAATCCATCTCATACACATATATAAACCACCAAGGAATGTTAGATTAATAGTAAGTGACCACCAACAGAATGTCCTAGGTCTTAGGACATTCCAAAATACAGGTAGTAATAAGTGAAATATTACAAAAGATTTATATGCCTACATTTATATCAAATGACAGGATGAAAAATATTGAGCCAAAAGAACAATATCCACGAGTGTAACAATGCAAACAATGTCAAACTGTGAAGTAACAAAAAACTCTAGCTAAATATGATTCTGCAGAGTTAATACTACCCTCCTTTTTGCTAACAAATATTAACCAATGTTAACCAGTTTTTGAAGACCACATGGGGGAGGAAGAAAAGGAAGAAGGCTGTGTCAAAACAAAATTCATCCAAAAAATTTTTTAATTAAAATAAATATTTAAAGAACCAATCCTATGAGAAGACTGAGATTTTTCTTTGCCTGAGAAAAATCAGCTTTAGGGCTATTAAATGACCCAATACTTTTCTGGGACTATAACTACAAAAGAGAACAAGGGCTAATAACTCTTACCAATAACTAAAAACTCTTACTTAATGACTCTTTCTTCCACTTGGTTTTCCTGCTCTTGGAAACTGGCACATTGCCAACAGAGGAATATTTCTGAAATAATGATTTGCTCATAAACTCTTTGTATTTCTATTCCCAGTGCTGAACACAGTGTCTGGCATATAACAGGTATTTAATAAATGTTTGTTTAATTGACTGGTCATGTCATTCTCCTTCCAAAAATCTTAAATGACTGCCTCTCTGTTCCATAGTAAATAAAGTTCAAACTCTTTAGCCTAGTATTCAGGACATCTACAATCAGATTTCAATCCACCTTTCCAGCTTCATATTCCATACTATACTCCACTTTGCCTCCAAATAGATAGTTCATACCTCCACCCAAACATACCTTGAACCTTCTCACTTCTAACCTTTTGCTCAAGTATTCCTTCTAGAATGCTCTTTCTTCTTTCTACTAAACTAATGGCTACCTATCATTTGAGCCTCAGCTCCTCCATAAAGTTTTCCCTGTACACCACAACATCTGAATTTCTATAGTACATTTCAGCAATTAATTATATGCTATATCTTGAGACTGTTCCTCTATTCTGTCTTGAACTATTTAAATCTTATACTGTATATCTTTACTTATACTATTGTTTAAAATATGTGTTTATATCCAATCTCCACAGCTATTATAAATTGTTTGAGGGCAGGGACCAAATTTCAAGAATTATTTTTATATCATGTAGCACCCAGCACACAGTACCTTGCATTGTTGGGCATTACACTACTCAACAGTCTTTCCTGACTTGACTTTGATTCAAATGAAAAAGTGTTTCTGATGATTTCTTGGTCTGACTACAGTTGCCAATCTCATTAAAGTAAACATTGTAAAATACAGCAATAACAAGAATGTGGATGGGGAATGAACCTGTGATTTCACTAAAACAGGGAACGTCTGGATAAGGGAATCTTCTAAGGTAACAGGAAAAAACAGGCAAAGGTAGATGAGTTCATAGGCCAACTTTAACTGTTCTAAGAAAAGGGAAAAAAAGTTTAATTTCAAGTCTCATGTAAAGTTTTCAAAAAAATTTCAAAACTTTAGCTTATTACATATGTTTGAAGACTCAATTTTTTTTCTCTTCTTCTCTTAAAGATAAGCTATATGTTTTGGGTAGGTTATAACCCTCAAAGACAAGACAAGGAAGAAAACTTTTTAGTGCAACAACATCTTACTAACAAGAATCAAAAATGATAATTACACTAATAAAAAAGGATATCAGCTTTAGCAAAGTCTCTTATCCCACACTGAGGTAATCCTGGTGTGTTCTGCATGTAGAAATCCAAGTAAAACCAATGGGCAAGTTCAATCTGAAAGCATACTCGGATGGCATTGTCTCTTTCCTCACTGGGAATATGCAAAATAAATCGGCTGCCAAAAAAACGAAAAATAAGGCAAAAATTACATTCACAATTAGCAATAAAGATAAAAGAAATGCATTCATCAGGATAGAAATGGGGCCAAAAAGGCTGACAGAAATGGAAAGGTTAACCAAAGAACACTTAGTGGCACAAAAGCAATCTTTATCATAAAAGAAAACTCTAATTCTCAGGAAATGATAGTATCATACTGTCGGGGAAGAGATAGTCACAAAAAGAAGGTGCTACATTTACCATATTACATCACAGTACACAAGACAGAAAGGTAAGAGTTCATTTAAAAAAAAAATCAAACAATTACAAATTACTATAAAAAGAAAGCAATGCTGGCAAAGAAAAAATCCAAAATAATTTTTAGTTCTAAATTAGTTCAAACACTATTAAAATAAATATCACTAGATCCACCTGCACAGCTACATTTCCAAGAATATAGAGCAAGTTCACATTTACAGACAGAAATAACATCATAAAATTAACTGCAGAACCTATTACCAATATAAATAAGCTTGTGACTTGACCAAAATATGACTACTTTGGCATATACGATATTAAAAGAAAAATATTTAGCAAGCACTCTCTTATTAATAAGTGGCACAAACTCTAAAGCTTGACCTCAAATTTGGAAAACTGACAAAAGATGGTAAAAGACAGACACTGCCAGTGTCAGAAGACAAACACATTAACGTGTTGTTGATGGAGACATGAATTGGATCTGTTATAGAAAACAATTTGGATTCACATCAGAAAAGTGGCAGAATTGTTTATAGCCTTTGAACCACTGAACTCCTACCAGGCATATGCCTCAAACAGGACAAAACACAGAGGGAAAGGAACTATGTAAAAATATTTATAGTAGTATTTTTTTATGGTAGTAAAAAAAACAAACAAAAACTGGAAATGAATTTAGGGTCCACTAACTGAAAAACAGCAGAACAAATTATGGCATATAATTGCCATGGAGTATCATTACACTGTTTCTAAAAGAGAGATAAGAATTCAGAGAAACTTAGGAAGACTTATATGAATTCATGTGGAATGAAGTAAGCAAAATCAAAAGAAAAATATATACACTTGCCACAACAATGTAAAAAAAATTAAAAATTTTAGCATCCAATTTTGATTGTTGCTAATATTCTTTTCATGTTTTCTTATTAACTTTTTCAATTAATAAACTTTTTTTTAAGTATTCAGATCAATGCAATGACCAATTTTGACTACAGAAGACTGGTGATCAAATTAGCAAGCATGTTATTTATTAACTGCCAGATCAGGAATCAGGAAGATTCACCTTCTTGAGTTCATATCTGGCCTCAGACATTTACAAACTGCATGTCACTTAACCCTGTTTCCCTCAGTTTCCTCTTCTGTAAAATAACCTGGAGAAGGAAATAGCAAAGTACTCCAGTAACTTTGCCAAGAAAACCCAAATTGGGTCACAAAGAGCTGGACACAACTGAAAAATGACTGAACAATACGTGCCATGCTATGGGATACAAAGTCAAAAGCGAAACAGTCCCTGCCCTGTATACACACACACACACACACACACACACACACACACACACACACACACACATTAGAGAGTAAGTTCCTTGAAAACAGGGACTATTTTACTTTTGTCTTTGTATGTATATATACACATAGGGAGAGGGAGTGCACTTCAAATCTCCAGATGGAGGATTCTACCAATGTGGATCAGCACTGAGGCATTTAATGACTTGTCAAGTCACAGTTGATACAGGTGTGCGATATAAAACATGTATAAAGCTAATATAAGCTAAGTTTAGAAGTGAAGGCACTAGCAGCCTTCAAGCTGAAGGAAGATTCTGAGAAGCAGAAGACTGGAACCAGGAAAGGCTCCTACATGGAGCCTTAGGAGCTGATTCTGAGAAGCCAAATTGAGGAAGAAGAATATTACAAGCATGCCAGTGCAAAGGCAAAGATGTGGGAAATGGAGTGTCATACAGGAGGAAGAGAAATCAGACTGGTATAACTGGACCATGGAATATAGAAATGCACAAGAAAGCTGGAAAAGTAGGATGGCACCAGGCTACAAAGAACCACAGGGGAATTTATATTTGATCTTAAAGAGCCACAAGAGAATATTGAATACGTAAATGAAATAGTCAGATTTTTCACTTTGGGAAAAATCACTTTGGCAATTATGGGAAGAATGAATTGGAGAGGAGAGATTCTTAAGACAGGAGACTCATTAAAGGCTATTATAATAGTCCAGGTGAAAGGTGATGAGGGTCTGAAGTAGGATGTTGGCCAGGATTGTAAAGAAAAGGGCATATGAGACGGGTTGTGGATAAAGAAACAAGATTTGGTAACTGCTTAAATATGTGAGGTAAGAGAATGGAGTCAAAGATGAAAGTGAGACTGCAACCATGAGTAACAGGAATCATGGTGGTACCCTCAACAATTATAAACACACATGTGGGGTGAGTTTGAGGAGATATATAATGAATTCTGTTCCAGGCATGGTGAGTTTTAAATATAGCCCTCCTTGCTGAACCACAGGAGTAGAAGCCATATATTGTCAAACTCAGAACACATTTTTAAAAAATAAAAGGTACTTCACCTTTATTTGTAAAACATGAATCCAACCATTCTTTCCTATCCATTGCTCCTGATACTTAGACCAAAATCTTAAACTTTATTCAAACTGTAGTTACAGCGAACCTTTTCAACCAAATCTTACCATGATTTTTTCCCCCTAATCAAGAAGTTGACCATTTCTGAAAAACCTAGTAAGTATGGGAGGGAGTAGAGGAGGCAAGACAGAAGTCTGCAATAAAACAAAATAAAAGCTATGTAACTCCAAAGCTAATGGGAGTATAAAAGGGAACAAGAAGGGATATCTAGCCTGAATTAGCTACAGACTGAATTGCTACAAAAAACAATTACATATTTGATTTCATTTTAAAACATATCATAAACAATATTTTAGCAGTACAAATATACTGAAATGGGATATGTAACACCAAACTCTTAAATTAAAAATCTTAATTTAGCAACTTAAAAATGTAATCAAACAACTTAAAAATATAATCAGGACACAGACACATAATTCTTTTTCAATTTAATTCCTTTTATGGTAAGATTATTGTAATCAGAAATAATAACCTGTATACCTTGAATGACATATTCTTTAGTGGTAATCTTTTTCTTTTTTAATTCAAGTTGTGAAGTAATCTTAAGTAATAGTAACAGGTTCTAGGTGCCTCTGGACGATATTGGTGTGCTAAGGTCCATGGTGTCACAAAGAGTAAGACAACAACAAACAACTAACTACCCTTCAAATTTTAAATATTTCAGGCTTAGGTAGTCAAAGGTATAAAAGAAATAAAATGTTAATTTTTTAAAAAGCATCATATCACTGATCATAGATTTTTGAGAAGGTAGGAACATCAAGTCCAACTCTTTCATTTTATAGATGAGGAAACTGAGGCATAAAGATGGGCATCCAGGGGCGGAGCCAAGAGGGCAGAGTAAAAGCAATGACTTGCTTGAGCTCTCCCCCAAACCTCTCCAAATACCTGTAAAAAATGGCTCTAAACAAATTCTACAGCAGCCGATCTCACAAAAAGACAGAGTAAAACAAATTTCCAGCCCAAGACAACCTGGATGGTTGATTAGAAAGGTCTATCACGCCAGGCTGGAAGAAGAAAGCAGTTCAGTGTGGGCTACACAGGCAAAAACCAGGCCTCCCCTAACCTGCAGGGGACTGAATCACAAGCAGCCATGGCAGTTTCCAGACTTCTCAAGCCACAAACGCCAAAGACAACTTAGAAGGTCAGTAGGAAAAGTCTGTGACCTCAGTGAGAGAGAAGCCCAGTCTCAGCCCCAGTACTGGTGCAGCCCCAGAGTGGAGGCTGCTTCCAGACTTTCTGGCCCACAGCCTAAGGGGGAATCAAGTAGCTGATAAGAGGGGGATTGCAGGGGTCTCTCTGCTGGTGCAGGATTCTCTTGCTTTGCCCGTGCTTGGATCTAGGTCACAGTTCTGGGTAGTGATCCTGAGGCAAGCAGGAGTGCTGGTGTGGTGGATCTTGTAGTGGCAGTGAAAAAGGAATCCTCCTCACAGTTCCAAGGCAGAAAAGACTGCTTGTGGTCATAGGCCAGGAAAGGAGTAAACACCTTGCCCTTGATTGTACCACCTTGGAAGAACTGAAAACTTACAGGTCCCTAGAAGTGAAAATAGCTGCACAAAACCCCTGAAGCTTGAGACAGTACATTCCCCACACTGGAAGCAGACCCCTACCTTAACAAAGAGTTTAAAACTCAAGTAATTTGCTAGGATCATGAGGAAAATGGGCTAAAAAAAGTCAGAATGTAGAATCTTTCTTTGGTGACAAAGAAGATCAAAACATACAACCAGAAGACAACAAAGTCAAAGCTCCTACATCCAAAGCCTCCAAGAAAAACATGAATCAGTCCCAGGCCATGGAAGAGCTCAAAAAGGAGTTTGAGAAGCAAGTAACAGAAGTAGAAGAAAAACTGGGAAGAGAAATGAGAGTGATGCAAGAAAATCACAAAAAACTAGTCAACAGCTTGATAAAGGAGACCCAAAAAAATACTGAAGAAAATAACACCTTAAAAAATAGCCTAACCCAAATGGCAAAAGAGGTCCAAAAAGCCAATGAGGAGAAGAATGCCTTCAAAAGCAGAACTGGCCAAATGGAGAAGGAAGTCCAAAAGCTCACTGAAGAAAATACTTCCTTAAAAATTAGAATGGAACAATTGGAAGCTAGTGACTTTATGAGAGCTCAAGACATTGTAAAACAAAACCAAAAGAATGAAAAAATAGAAAACAATGTGAAGTATCTCATTGGAAAAACAACTAACCTGGAAAATAGAACCAGGAGAAATAATTTTAAAATTACTGGACTATCTGAAAGCCATGATCAAAAGAGCCTAGACATCACCTTTTAAGAAATTATCAAGGAAAACTGCCCTGATATTCTAGAACCAGAGGGTAAAACAGAAATTGAAAGAATCCACAGATAACCTCCTGAAAGAGATCCCCAAAGGAAAACTCCTAGGAATATCATAGCCAAATTCCAGAGTTCCCAGGTCAAGGAGAAAATACTACAAGCAGCTAGAAAGAAACAATTCAAGTACTGTGGAAACAAAATCAGGATAACACAGAATTTAGCAGCTTCTACATTAAGGAACCACAGGGCATGGAATACAATATTCCAGAGGGCAAAGGGAGATAAAATTATAGTCAAGAATCACCTACCTAGCAAAACTGAGTACAATCCTTCAGGGGAAAAAATGGTCATTCAGTGAAATAGAGTACTTTCAAGCATTCTTGATGGAAAGACCAGAGCTGAATACGAAATTCACCTTTCAAATACAAGACTCAAGAGAAGCATGAAGAAGTAAACAGGAAAGGGAAATCATAAAGGACTTGTTAAGGTTGAACTGTTTACATTCCTAGATGGAAAGATGATATTTGTAATTCTTGAGACCTTTGTCAGTATTAGGGTGGGAGGGAAAAATAAATTATACGTATAAATAGATTGATAGATATAGGGCATAGGGTGAATTTTGAAGATGAAGGGCTGATATCTGGAGAATAAAATTAAGAGGTGAGGGAGGATTATAATGGGAGAAAGAGGAGGCAGAGGTAAAATGGGATAAATTATCTCACATAAAACAGACAAGAAAAGGCTTTTACAGTGGAAGGGAAGCGGGGGAAGGTGAGAGGGAATCAGTGAATGTTATTCTCATTGGATTTGGCTTAAGGAGGGAATAACATACACACTCAATATGGAAAGCTATCTTACCCTACAGGAAAATAGGGGAGAAGGAGATAAGAGAGGGGGAGATGATAGAGGGGAGGAGGTAATCAGAAGCAAACACTTCTGAGGAGGGATAGGGTCAAAAGAGAGAACAGAATAAACGGGATGGGGGGCAAAAGGGGAGGTGGCATGGCATAGAATGAAGGGAAATATAGTTTTCCACAGCATGAGTACTATGGAAATGTTTTGCATGACTACACAAGCATAACCTGTATCGAATTGCTTGCCTTCTCAATGAGGGTGGGTGGGGAAGGAGGAAGGGAGAAAATCTGGAACCCCAAGTTTTAAAAACAAATGCTAAAAAATGTTTTCACAAGCAACTGGGAAATAAGATATACAGGTAATAGGTCATAGAAATCTATCCTGCCCTACAGGAAAATAGAAGAGGAAGGGGATGGGGGTGGGGATAGAAGGGAGGGCAGATTAGAGGAAGGGGTATTCAGAATGCACATTGTCTTGGGGATGGGGAAGGGATGAGATGGGGAGGAAATCTGGAACTCAAAATCTCGTAGAAGGGAATGTTGAAAACTAAAAATAAATGAATCTTAAAAAAAAAAAGATGGGCATCAGATGGACCTACATGAAGAAACAGCTTTCTGTTCATCCTAAGTGAAAAGACAGATATGCTTCTTTAGCATCTTTGCTGGCCAAATTGTTCAGCTGGGTTCCCAAGGTCTGGTTCTCTCCATATCCGAAACCTCTATTGCTAGGGATAGCTCCCTTAAGCTGCTCCATCCTTTCAGTGAATTTTTCTCTGTCTCTACAGCAGTATCTTTGTCTCCTGCTGGTTACAATGTTTCCTACTGGTCCAGCAGCTCCCCCTTAACGCTAAGGGATTAATACTGAGAGTTAAGAGGGGAGGAAGGGAAGAAAAAGTCTTATTCTTCCCACCCACACAAGAATCTCCTCTACCGGAAGCTCCCATCTTGCAAAGGCTCCAACTATCAAAACAGAACTGCTGAAATCTGTTCAGGATTAATAATTTTAAACCCCAAACACATGGCTAATTTGCTTGCAATCAAAGCCATTAGAAGTTGTTCCCTTCTTGACTGATAATCAGAGAAGGGCTGAGTCTCATAAACACTTAAAGGCAAGCATCTTTTACAGTTAGTTTAATACTTCATTAACACATTGTGATGACATTTTGGGCCTGCAGCTATATTAATTACATTAATATTATGTTAAACATATTAAATTAGAATTTTTTTTTTACACTCTAGTCTTGAAATAATGACCTGTATACTTTGAAGTTTTATTCATTTTTATGATGGCTGGTGGTTGTTCAGTCAGGTCCAACTCTTCATGACCCCATCTGGGGTTTTCTTGGCAGATACTGGAGTGGTCTGCCATTTCCTTCTCCAGGTCAATTTACAGAACTGAGACAAACAGGGTTAAGTGACTTGCCCAGGGTCACACAGCTAGTAAATGTCTGAGGCCGGATTTGAACTCATGAGTAAGTTTTCTTGATTTCAGTCCCCCATTCTATCCACTGCACCAGGTGCTGGAATAAATAATTTAGGAAGCTAGGTGACAAAGTGAACACAGCACTAGCTCTAATCAGGAAGTTCCAAGTTCAAATCCTGTCCCAGGGGCTTAATAGCTTTGTGACCCTTGGCAAATCAGTTAATTTCAATTTACCTCGTTTCTTCATCTGTAAATTTAATAGCACCTTACCTCCCAAAGTTGTTGTGAGGATCTAATGAGATAATAATTGCAAAGTCCGTAGCATAGTGTCTGGTATATAGTAAGTACTATATAAATGTTAGCTGCTATTATTATTATTTAATTTCTGAAACAACTATATCTGATAGCTAAACTTCGAGTTCATGTATGTTCTAATCAACTGATCAATACAATTATAAAATTATCTAACCCTTCTCTGAATCTATTTTCTTCACCTCCAAATTAATGATTATTTTAACTTTCCAGAAATGCACCTTTTCAAATACTTAAAACTATGCTTTGCCATCCACAGATGGTCATATCTTTGATGCTGCCATCACCTATATACGCACCACTTCCATATTCACAACACTGAAATTCCCTGGAAATTCCCTTATCTGATCACAGAAAACCGAGAACCTATTTCCTCCTGTAGAACGCGAACAGGAAACAGGATGGGGAAAGGAGAAAATCCTATCTGAAAAGTGTTTTAAAAAAAAGTCTAAGTGGGGGAGCTTACGATGAAACGTGGTTGCTAGGAATATGAAGAAAGTGGTTTTGATGGAAATACACACACACACACACACACACACACACACACACACACAGAGGAAGCGAATCTAAAGCTATAGGTAAATCAATGCAATTTTTAAAAGCAGGGTCGGGAAGGGGTGGGATGAGGGGTGAGTCTGAAAGAAGGCAAGAGAAGATGGGCAGGGGGAAAGTAGATAACCCGAAGGAATACCAGAAGGCAAAGAGGAGGGCTGAGGGATCGGGAGGACTCAAAGTGAATGGACACAGTGGAAGAAGGGAAAGAAAAGTGGGAGGGGCAGGCGCGAAGGGTCTGGGGGAACATGGGAGCTGGAGGGACTGAGGTGGGAGGGGGGGGCGTTGGGGATGGAAATAGGGAACCGGGAGAAGTCTTTGAGTACCTGCAGAGATCGTCCAGGACGCTGCCGGGAATCTCGACTCGTTTGGTCTCCATGATGAGTGCCAGCAGCAGGAGCAGAGCATCCCGGCCGCGCCGGAGGACTAGGGGTAATGCACGCGCAAGCGCGCGCACACACACAGACACACAGTCACACAGTCACAAACGCGAGCTTCAGCGGCTCCCTGAGAAACACAACAGCACCCACTCCACACGGACTACGGCCCCAAAACGCAAGGAAGAGACGGGGAGGGGGGCGGAACCCTTTCACTTCCGTCCCCACTGTACGTGCAGATTCCAGGCTGCCGCAGTGGTCTTGGCCAAGAAGGGGGCGGAGTGGCTACGATAGGCTTCGGGGGTCCAATGAGAAGCGGGCATATGGGAGAGACGAAAGATTTAGCCAATAGAAGCTTTGTTTGTTGATGCGTCAGCTCCAATCGGTACTCAGGAAACGCCGTCGGTACCCTGGAGAGCCAAGTTCCCGCCGCCAATGAAAGAAGCCTGGGGTTGAACTGCGCATGCGTACCATAGCCTGCTTAGGTCTGGGGAGTCTCTGAAGGTGTTTTAGGTTTTCGCAGTAGGCGCTTCTTTCTCCCGCGACTTCTTGGCGTCTCTGTTTCTAGGCACTGTCTGCACCTGGGATTCGAGAGAAGGAAGACCGTCTCATGTACTCATATGTTGATGCAACATATGATAGCAACAAAATGTAATGCAAGCTAGGGGGGTGGGGACGGCTGGACTATAAACACCAAAAGCTGGAGGTGGAGTTTGAGCAGAACCTTAACGGGATCTAGGGATTCCTAGAGGTAGAGTTGTGGAGGGAGCGCATTCTAGCCTGGAAGGACAGACAGGACAGAGGCCTACAAATGGGACCAGAAGTGGAATGTTCGAGGAAGAGCAGACAGGCCCATTTGACCAGAAGGTAGTAATGGGTAATAAATCAGAAAGGAGGGAACTAGATTTCTCATGTCTCCAAAAGTCATCTTGAATTCAGTATTTTAGAGCAGGGACGGTCTTACTTTTCTTTTGTATCCCCGCAACACAGAGTGTTTTGCATATAAGTGCTTAGCAAATGGTTCTTCATTGATTTTACACTAGAGCCAATAGAGAGCCACTGATTTTTTTTTTACACACATGTATGGGCTTAGGCAGTCCTGAGCCTGAATTTTAGAGACCTATCCTGCCTTTTCTGCTTTTCTGCTTTCGTTTCCTTCCGTGAGCACAGGTGACCAAACAGCAACCCAAAGATGGACTTGTCCTGCCTTGGAGCTCAAAAGGGCTTTAGTTACTGGGTTCCTTCCTTGGAGCTGACTGGCAGCAAAATAGAAATCCTTCATTGGGGAGAATGACCACTGATGAGAGGAGCTCCCCATCTGGCACAGGATAAACAAAAATTAAAGGAGAAGGGAAGGAAGTACAAACAGAACTATGTTTTGGGTAAGAATTCTTAACCAAACAAGGCAGAAGTATTCCCAGCTTTTTTTGGGGGGGGGGAAATGTATGCACAATATACCTTTAAGTTTAAGTTGCAGTATTAACATTTTCTCTATCATTTTCTTAAGTGTAGACAATCAACAAAATAAATCAAGTCCTGATTTGTAGCATTTGCTGATTTCCGAGGTATAAATGCTCACATTGAAAATTTAACAATTAGCTCCTTTGAGTTGGTACAAGCTGTCTCCTGCATACCCCCTGGATAGAATTGATAATAGGGACATTTGTCTGGTAGTTCAGATGTACTGAGGTCATTGTCTTTGGAAAGGCTGGGGAAAACAGCAGAAAGATTATGAAAGTGTTAATTCTAGAAGAAGCTGCTTTGAAATTCATTTACAAGTTTTGCAAACCCATTGTCAAGCACATGAGTCACACAGTGCCTGAACAAAGACTATGCACTAATTCAGAGAAAATAGAAACAATTACCATCTTCCAGTCACTGCATCCTTAAGTTCTCTGAGACTTACAATTTAGAAAAGCGTCAGAAGCCTGGGCATTGTATATTGATCACATCTAAAAACCCATATGAGGTTATCAAGCATGAAGCAATTGTCTAATTAAAGAAATCATGAAAACAATTAACAATATAGCACTTGCTCTGTTCTAGGGCACTGTGTTAAGCAGTTTACAATCTAAACGTGTGATTCCCCACAACAACCCTGAAAGGTGGGTGCTACTATTATCCCCTTATAGAGTAGTAAACTGAGGTAAACAGACATAAAGTAACTTGCTTGGAGTCACACAGCTAATAAATTTCTTAATGCCAAATAGCAAATGTCCTTTACATTAGGTTCTGATTTACCATAATAATCCTGATAGGAGAACACACTCAGACCACTTTCTCATTTCCTTCAGGAGGGACCAAATCAAATCAAATCCGGATTTGTAATCACTCATGGTAACATTTTAATTTCACTTTGTCCAAGGCCTATGTACTCTTTGATGGGGGCGGGGCCCAGGCCAAGATCTTGGCCCTTTGCCACAAAGAGAATCTGAATCACAGGCCCCAGACCCTCATCTCCCTTGAAAGCCCTAGCTTACCTTTAGATCTTATTCAGATGCACCTTCGACCCTTGCCCTGAATAGAATCTGGCTCCTGTTTGTCTAAGGACCCAGAAAACCCTTAAACCTTCAACTTTCCTAATCGACTCCCCTCATCTCCCTTTGAAAGCCTTAGGCTCCCTTTTGTCTATCCCTAAGGCCTCAGAAAGGCCTTCCTTTATCTCCTTTTGAAAGTCCTGGCCCCACCTTGGTTTTGTGCAGATGCCTTTCAAACTTCTGCCTTCCTGTTCCCTCCATTATCTATTCCCATTGTCTATTCAATCTCTCTGACCTCCCCAATTAGAATTCTTACCTAGACCCATTTCCCAACCCCCTTCTCTGGCCACCCAAAGTTACTTTAGTATTTAAGATCCACCTTGGCCCCCATTCAGATTCTGAGAATCTCACGCTCAAAAGGCTGAGAACCTCTCATGCCCACTTGTCTTTACGGGCGTCACCTGGTCAATGTGATTTATCATTAATAAACTTTTCCTCTGGCTGAAGAAGATTTGAGTTGAATTCATTCAGCAGGGCCCGGTACTGCGATCTTGGGGTCCCAGCACCCCAAGACCCCTAGACCTTTTCATCTTGGCACTTTAAAAGAAAAATATTATTATCCATAAATGCATGTTTTTCCCCTAAAAGACACATAGTAACAATTCCTAGCTTCCTTTCCCTTATTTCCTCAAAGAGCTGGAACAGTTCTCAATCCCCTGCCTTCTTTGCCTTTCTTTAAGATTTTCCAGATTCAGCTTCCAATTCCCAGTATAAACATATACTTAAAAATACATATAAAGTTTTACAAACAGTTTGAATTCACACCTGTTTTCATTAGGTTAGCTTAAAGTGTACTGGGCTTAAAATGCTATAAGATTTCTAGTTGAAAGGCTGGTTTTGGCCCAGGCAAAAAGAAAAACCTAAGGAATTTAATATAATGTTTGGCAGGGCATGGCCAGTTTTCTCCAGGCACAAACCTTCAAGAGCTTTCACAGAAGGAGTTAATTAAATAATTCTCAATTTGAACAGTACAGGGAAACATTTAAGATCCTATATAATAGTCATAGATCACAATAATCAATATTTTTACCATATCTAATGTCTACATAGTGTTAGATTTTAAAAAATACTGAAGAAAATAACGCCCTAAAAAATAGACTAGGCCAAATGTCAAAAGAGGTCCAAAAAGCCAATGTTTCTGTTTTACAATAGTCTTTCAAATTTTACAATATAGGAGAGTTTAGAAATACAATACAAGTTAAAAATGCAATAATAACACAAACAATGAGCATCAGATTACAAATTATCACATATAGAAATCATTGATCTTATTGACATTAAATTAGAGAAGTAATAATAATGTAGAAATAATTATATGCTTAGCATATGCCAGTCACTGTGTTAAGTACTTTATAATCATTATATCATTTTGATCTCACAACAACCATGATAATTTTTCTCCTTACAAATCAGGAAACTGGGGCAAACAGAGATAAAATAATAAAAATAATAAAATAAATTTCTGCAACTAGAAGAGAGAAAGGTGGGCTCACCATGGGCAGGGGCTGGCTAGCTTTTCCCACCTTGTACTACCATGCTAGGTGCTTCCAGGAGCAACCAGATCCTCCCAGAGAGCATCTGGGCGGGACCTACCAAGAGCTAGGCCTGGCCTGGATACTGACTGACTGGGCTTTGGGTGGGGGGATTCAGGAGACGGTACTACCTAGGGGCTGGGGTGGTTGGTGCCAGAACCTTTCCATTGGTGTTGGGGTTCCTGGTAACAGGACAAGGCAAATGCTGGTCATGGGGCCTGACCTGCTTCCCCCCCCCCCCCCCCCGCCCACAACTGCTGCAGGCGCTGCTGGGGCAGGGTGGGCAAGATGTACTACACCTGGGTGATACCCTCAGGCTTACCTGGAGGAATAAACTGCAGGATACCCAGTGGCACAAAGCCACTTGGGGCTACTGCCAGTGGGATCCTGCTGTGTCTGCTGCCCCCCTCTCCACCAGATGGGGAAGGGTGATTCAAGTCTCCCTACAATTCTCCTGCATTCTCTTTTCTTAATCTGATCTGAGATAAGAGGGGTTAACAAAGAGACATGGGCTGTTAGCAATTTCCATAACTGAGATATACTCATGACCCTGGGGAAAGGGAATGGAGAAGGCAGAGGGGTTTACTTAATTCTCCAAAGTCTCAGGAGTTCTCTCCTACAATCTTAAAATGATTAATTTTGAAACTCCTTAATGATTAATCTGTAAACCTCCAGAATCTGCTAAGATGGTTTTTAGCAATTCCACAACTTTGATTATCTAACTTTATTTCTGTACTTCCAACTTGGCCAGTGTTAGGACCACACACAAATACACACACACACACACACACACACACACACACACAGAGATATCTTACTGCTTTTCCTCTTGTCTTATAACCTAATCTCCCATGGAAAGCCTAAGGCAGGAGTTTGAAATCTGTCCTAATGTTCTCTCTAGCTACAGCCCTTAGAAGTTTTTCTGGCTGGCTGCATTTTAAATCTTTCAAGGTCTCACAGCACAGACATGACATAGACATTTTACAAACACACAGTCACAGACAAAATAAGGCCAAATTATAGAGGATATCTGTACCTTTTGGAGGAAACCTGTCCTGCAGTCTCTGTCCCCAGAGCCAGCTTGGAGAGAAAAGAGTCTACCACACACAAGGGAGTCCTTTGAGATAGGAGTGGGAAAGAAGAGACCCACCTATTCCTCAGGGCTGGAACTTTGGGAAAATAAGTCCTAAGCACCCAGTTCACAGCACTGTTGGGGGAAGGGTCCAGTCTCCAATCCCTCATCATATCCAAGTCACAGCACTCAAAATGTCAACTTCCAAAATTTGGTCTAAGAAAGACTAACAGAATTAGGTTGTATGCATGTTTATTTTCTCTCAAAGCAGTGGTAGGCATGTATGCATGCAGAGCTGCAATTGAAACTGATCTGGCTTTGGGGTTAGGCTGCACAGATTATAAAAATAAAGCGAAACCACACAGTTGGACAGGAATGGCTGTGTCGTGGTCCAATCAGGTACTGCCACCGGGAGTTTGAATTTCCCTGCCATGTCATGGTCCAACTGCGTACTGCCACAGTCATTTGGTTTCAGTTTCCATTTCCCAGGGAGGAGCCATTTCACAGAGATCATGAGACACCTACACAAAACAATAGGGTCAGGCTGAAAAATCCCCAAGGTCCCAGAACTAGGATGCTTGTGCTAGTTCTATCCCTTAGAGCTGGTATGAACCAGCTTAAGTTAGTTTTGTGATTACCAGCACAGCAGAGGGATTTCTGGGCTCAGCAGGTGAACACTGCAAAGGATCTCTGCTATGTCAAACTTAAGGGATGTTCAGTCTGCCTCCTGATTGGTGAATTCTGATTCCCAGGTTAGTCTGGCCTCCTCTGGATAGTAAGGAAGCTCAAGCAAATCAGGGTGGTTAGAAAAGTTATTTTCCACAAAGTCTAATTATGAAAATGACTAGTTGCCCAGAAAATATTGGTTCACCTGATTTCTTTTGTTCCATGTCTGGATATCTGCAAGCATCAGAGAAATACAGAGACTTGTGGTTAACAAATGAAGTTATCAGAACCAGGAGAACAATTTGCATAGGATCACAACAATAAGGCAAGGGGAAGCAACTCTGAAAAACCTCAGTACTATGGCCAAAGCAGCCATTAATCAAGATTTCTCAAAACTGAGAATGAAGCATAATTTCTACCCCTTTGCAGAGCTAATGACTCTCTAGTCTAACTCTAGTACAGAGCCAGGTATGCTCATACACTGAATATCTTCATTTTTTTTGACTACATAAATACATACACTTGATAGGTTTTAACATTATAACAATAACCCCAAATAACTTAATTATCAGTCTCATAATTTTCATATCGCCAAATAATTTTAGGTGAAACTTCCTCTTAGCAAAACTTGGGACCTTAAGTTCTTAAATTACAGTACTTCAGAATATTATAGCACATGGTCAGCAGTGTTGACAAAATAACATAACATAACAGCTTTTTAATCCATTAAAAAAAATTTTTAAGTTTTTAACACTACAATTCTTTTTTTTTTTTTTGCTTTTTGGTGAGGCAATTGGGGTTAAGTGACTTGCCCAGGGTCACCCAGGTAGTGTAATGTGTCTGAGCCATACGGTACAATTCTTAATCTAATAACATCCAAATTATAAGAGAAGTTGCTTTTCTAACAACATAGTTGATACATTACTAAATTATGCAATATAAGAAAATTTAGAAACATAACAATACCCTAAACAATAGCATGTATTTGAAACTTGAAACAAAGCCCTTACCAATTAAGTGGTCTAAATTCTGGTGAATGCATCTCCAAATTACCTTATACAGAAAATTATTTGTTTCTACACCTCTGGCATTGTGTACTTATTGCATCTAAAACCCCATATAAAGTTATCAAATATGAAGCAATTACATCTAGTTAAAGAATAATAAAAACAGCATTCATAAAGTGTTTGCTCTATGCCAAGCACTGAGTTAAACACTTTACAATCATGTAATCCTCACAAGGATCCTGATAGGTAGGTGCTATTATTATCCCCTTACAGAATAGTAAATTGAGGTAAATAGACAGAAGATAACTTGCTTGGGGTCACACAGATAATAAATTTGAAATAAAATCAAATCCAGATATAGAATCGCTAATAGTAGCATTTAAATTTCCAAGGCCCAGTACTCTTAGTACTTCAAAAGAAAAAAGATTATTATCCATAAGTTTATATATTTCTATTTTTTAAAAGATACATGGTGACAATTTTTAGCTCCATATAATCTTTTTTTCTAATTCCTTAAAAAACTGTATCAATTCTCAATCCCCTGCCTCCTTTATCTATCTTTGAGACTTTTCAGATAAGGAGCTGGCCTAAGTATTCAGCCAATATAGATACAAACAGTTTGAATTCACACCTGTTTTCATTAAGTTAACTTAAAGTGTGCTGGGCTAAGTGTTATAAATTATTGCTTTTAGAATTTCTTACACTAAGATTCTAGATGACTGATTTTTGGCCCAGGCTCTAAGAAGCATAAGCTCATGATAAATGTTGGATATGCAGGAAAACTGGAACATTAATGCATTGTTGGTGAAATGATTCAACCATTCTGGAGAGCAATTTGGAACTATGCCCAAAGGGCTATAAAACTGTGCAGACCCTTTGATCCAGCAATACCACTACTAGGTCTGTATCCCAAAAAGAACATAAAAATGAGAAAAGGATTCCCATGTACAAAAATATTTATAGTAGCTCTTTTTGTAGTGGCAAAGAATTGGAAATTGAGGGGCTGCCCATCAATTGGGGAATGGCTGAACAAGTTGTGATATATGAATATAATAGAATGCTATTGTTCCATAAGAAATAATGAGCAGGCAGATTTCAGAAAAACCTAGAAAGACTTGCATGAACTGATGCTGAGTGAGGTGAACAAAACCAGGAGAACATTATACACAGTAATGGCAATATTGTGCAATCACTGCCTTTTCAGACTTAGCTATTCTCAGCAATACGATCTAAATCAATTCCAAAAAACTGATGATGCCCTTTTGTTCTGATTCTTCTTTCACAACATGACTAATGTAGAAATATGTTTAATATGTTTGTACATATATAGCCTATATCAGATTGCATGGCCATGTTGGGGAGGTGAGAAGAGAGGGAGGAGGGAGAGGAAGGAGGAAGAAAATTTTAGTACTCAAAATCTTATAAAAGTGAATGTTGAAAACTTAAAATAAATAAATAAAATACAAAAAGAAGAAGAAGAAGAAGAAGAAGAAAAGAAAAAAAAAGGAAGCCTAAGCTCTAAGAAGTTGCTGGGAGGGTATGGTCCAATTTCCCATGCAGAAACATTGGCACTTTCACAGAAGGGAATAATTAAATAATTCTCAGTTTGAAACAACTAAGGGAACAACTAAGATCCTGTATAATAATCACAGATCACAGTGACCATTTTTTTTAACCCTATCCAACATTTGTGTAGTGTTAAATTTAATATGGGCTTTCTACAGATTTATCCTGAAAGTGTGGGTAGACAGGATTAACCAGATGCTTACCTAACCTTACTAAACTTAACTTTACAGACTAAATCTGGTTAAAGACTAATTTTTTCCCCCTCTGTAACATATTTACTTCGGTCTTTTAACAATTAAACCCATAACCCAAAAGAATTAAAGAAGAACAAACTTTTCTATTTCTGAAACAATGAATTATCAAATTAATGTTAGGCACTTTTCTTTAACACATTATAAATCACATAACTGAAGTATAATAAATTTCATTTAAAATGAGACCAGAATAGATTCTTTCGCACCTGAATCTATTTTCTAAATAATATCATGAAGAACCTTAATTAATAATTTCAATGATTTAATATTATATGTTATTCAAAGACTATTTATTCCAAGCATTTCATATTATGGGGTCACTATTTCCCAGCTAATCCACTGCAAAAGATTTTAGAAGTGGTAGTATATAAGTGATTTTAATTATCACACTTAGGGACATGTTGCTCATCAGATTTCTCCTAATCCCCTGTAATAGCCTTATATTGGGTTTCAAATCAAGTTACAAAATTTTCCTTCTTACTTTCCCACTTACACAGGCATCAAACTTTTCTATATGGGAGTGGGAAATTCTGTAATGCATTTCACTTTATCACCCTTTGGTAGCAATAGAAACTTTGGATACCTTTTTGTATGGTACATGTGTTGCATATAAAATTAGAACTTTATTTTTATTTTTAAGAGGCAAAGTACTGTGTTAGGGCAAGGTGCGGGGGGTGTCTAGAACTGCAATATTTTTTAATATTAAAAAATAAAATCAGGATTTGGATTGTTGTCCTCACTTTATTCTTAAATTCACTGAAATGCTGAGTTGGCAGCCATGGGAAGGATGACGTAATGTCTGCCTGAGAGAGGACCACTCTGCAGTGGATAGTGCGCAGTCTTCACTGCTGAACTCTCCAGGACAGTAATAGCCTCAGAGTCCACCTGTGCCATGCATGGGCTTTGTCTACCATCACACTCCACTGACACCTGCAAAGACCATTGGTGCCTAGCTGCCCATACGGGGTTAGCAAATGAAGCAAAGCTTTTATTTTTCATCTTCAGAAGGTTTAATTGGTTGGCATTCATCATTGTTTAATCTCAGATTTTTATTTTAAAGAGTAATTCAGTTACTTTTAAAATAGCTTTTGATGGCATATTGAGGACAGAGCCAAGATGGCGGAGTAAAAGCATGGACATGCTTGAGCTCTCCCCCAAACCTCTCCAAATACCTGTAAAAATGGCTCTAAACAAATCCTAAAACAGCAAAACCCACAAAAAGAATGAAACAAATTTCCAGCCCAAGACAGGCTGGATGGTTGATTGGAAAGGTCTATTGAGCCACGCTGAGAGAGTAATGTAGTTTGGTGTGGGCACGCAGGCAAAACAGGCCTCAGTGAAGCTGGAGCATGCCTCTGAGGACTGAATCATAGGCAGCTATGGCGATTTCCAGACTTCTCAACCCATGAATGCCAAAAACAACTTAGAAGGTCAGGGGGAAAAGTCGGTGACCTCAGTGAGAGAGAAGCTCGGGCCCGGCCCCAGTCCCTGTGTGCAGCCCCGGGGTGGCAGCTGCTTCTAGAGCTTCCAGCCCACAGACTGAGGGGGAATTTAGTGGCTGATCAGAGGGGGATTGCAGGGATCTCTTTGCTGGTACAAGATTCTCTTACTTTGCCTGTGCTTAGATCTGGGTCACAGTTCTGGGTGGCAATCCTATGGCAAGGAGGAGTGCTGGCATAGTGGAGCTTGTAGTGGTGGTAGAGAGCAAATCCTCACAGTTCCAAGGCAGAAAAGAGTGCTTGTGGTCACTCATAGATCAGAGCACAGGCCAGGAAAGGAGTAAACACCTCGCCACTTATCAT